CAAATTGAAGACATGGTGAAATTTATGTTTACTGTGGCACGAACGGACATCCTCTGAGAATTCTTTCTGACAACCTTCCCCTGCCCACAGTGGAGGTGACACCATTTTCCTGTCTTCTTTGAATAAGAGATGCATGTCCTCTCTGAACATATAAGTATCACAAAGGATTCTCTCATCATTATTATTTTTAAAAAGACAATTGAAATGATTCTTTGCTTGATCATTAGTTCATGTATTCCTCTGGGTGTGCCGTACAATGTCAGGTTGAATTTGGTCCAATGCGTTTACACACTATTAATTATTAAGAAGTGGGAGAATTAATTTTGGATTTAGATTTAGTGTGTACAGTAACATATTTGAAAAACATAGAGCTCAAACATTTCTTTTAGCTCTCTTTATAATATACATAGTGGTAGCTAGAAAGTGTGTAATGATTTTAGGAGAAAAGTTTCTTTTCCCTCTGTTCTGCCACTCATTTCAGTTTAATCAAATCTCCATATTTTTGAGAAAGACTATTTGAAAACGGAATTAGAATAGTCTTGGACACTCACTATATTACAACCAGTACCATTGCATGAATTTCCTATGGAACATATCTTAATGGCAGGATTTCCATGACCTGAGACTGGACACACTAATGTTTGCTGTGAGGGAAGAAGATTACCAGGAAGCACTTCAGTACAAGGTGTGTGTGTGTGTGTGTGTGTGTGTGTGTGTGTGTGTAAGAGAGAGAGATTACCCTTACATATTTACCAGGAAGCATTTCAGTACAAGGTGTGTGTGTGTGTGTGTGAGAAAGACAGAGATTACCCTTACATTTATTTTTAAAAGGGCAATATAATAACAACATATAACAATGTTGTTTAAGGAGTTCAGCAGACCTCTAAATATATGAAAGTTAAGTAAAAATAATAAATAATGTAGGGTTTCTCCCCCCCACCCCCCTAAATCTAGTTTGTAGGTCCTGATACATTTTAAAACACAAAACAACTTAAATGGGTTTATTATCTTTGTTTGCTTCAAAGATATTGGATGTTTTGAACAATTTTATTAGAAACCAAGGAATACAGACTTATGATCTTGATAAAGATAAGTCAGATGTGGAAAAACCAGGGCTATTCAGGATGCTATTAGGAGAATAATAGATATCTGTTGTTAAAAATGATAACCAACACCCTCCCCCACCCTGAGTTTTTTTGCCTGGTGTGTCTCAAAAAAACCCTTAGTTGTAACCACGTTGCCGACGTGTCTCCAGATAATGGATTCACTGTTAATTAGATATAATTTTGCTAAGAAGTTTGAGGAGCAAACACTCGCACATGTCTACGAATTCTCGGTGCATCTCTGCCCCGGCCTTCATGAAAGGGCACCTTGTCAAGGGCTGCTCCCTTTTCCGGAGAACCCTTTGCTTACTCTTCGATGGATAGTCACACTGGATACTTCAATTATAAATAATTATCAGCAATCATTGCCTTTGATACTGAATGT